GATAGGTCTTAGTCATCAGGTCTACTCCACTTCCTTGTTGCCTGCTTAGACTTTTGGCACTCTTAGGTGAGCAGACTTAGTCAGCCTGTGTTGCCCTAACAGTCAGCCAGGCAGTCAGCATGGCTTGCAGTTGATCAAGAAACACTGTTTGGAGCCGGACTTTATGCATCTGCATGTCTTCAAGAGTGTTTGGGGGAATTGACACAGTGGGAGCAGCATGTGTAGAGATGGCGGATGCAGCTTCTAACAAAGATGAAGTGGGTACATCAAATTCTTGGTGCTCTGCAAAACCCACCCCAGTTTCTTGACATGCTGATTATAGATAGGCAGATTGCTCCAGGTCTTCCAATAGCCATGTTATGCCAGCTATGGCTGAATCAGGTTGACAATCTACAGGTAATACTATGGTATGCATCAGTGCTATTCAAATAATTCCTGGGCACTCCTGTGCCTCCCTGCATGGCAAATCAGCTTCTTCCAATATGCAAACTACATGTTTGTACCAAATCATGGTATTTGCAAGGGTGATTGAGGTTCCATGGCAAATAACTGTTCATTTGTGAGCCTATTTTCAGGTCAATGTGCAGGTCCATTTGCAGGCTGGAAGGTTGGTCTCTTACAAAAGGATCTGTAAGCTGGGTGAGCTGCTGCAAATAGTGTCTCAAGACAAGGCATACAGTATGCCATAGGGAGGTATAAGGATGTCAGGTGCTGAGATACAAAAACGAAAGAAAGAAGAAGCTGCAAAAGGTGTTGCAGTATGGCAAATGAGGAAATGGAGCAAGGGGAGCAAAAAGATGCATGGCAAATGTTTTGAATTGATGCTTCCATGCATGCATTGATTAAACTGTGTCTCAATTTTCAAAATGGAGGACATACCTCTAAGTACTGCATATGGCAATATACACATATATAAAGCTTGTGTGGGCCTTAGGAGAGTTAATTCAATTATAAGCCTGGTATCAGATTGCTCATTGTCCAGTCACCCCACTGTGCATCATCAAAGACAAGCCATTGTTGATTCTCCAGCTGCAAATCATCAATGTCAGTATCAGTATCTGCATTGCTCACTCCATCCTGCTTGTTTGCCATCAAGGAGGTTGGACATACATTGCCAGCATGTGTTGGAGAAAAGGGCAGTGCCTGCCTGGCATGTGCACAAGGTGAAGGCAAAGTGAATGGTCCATCCACACCAAGAATCTGGCTGAACTGTCTGCAGAGTTGCTCATCAGTCTTATGGAAGTGGCATCTCTTGAAGACCAATCTGACAGATTGCTGACAGTCAAGCATGAGACATACTGCATAGTCACAAGCCAGAGGGCAGAGAAAGCTGTCACCTGCAAATATCAAGATTGGGTAGCTTGCATGGGTGATAACAACTTACATGCTGTATCTTCCAGAAGCTCCACAGCCTTTTCCAGATGCACCTTATAGTATCTAGCAAGATTCTCAGCTTTGCTTTCAAGGCGCACAATTTCCTTGTGGCAATGATCCATTTGCAGCACTTGGAGAATGCCAGCACAAATCTGGTGATCCATCATCCATGCTGGGGTGCACAAATTGGGAAGTCCAATGTAGACATCTTGCCAAAGGCTCTCATCCATGCTGATATTGATGATTTCAATGGAAAACTCTTGCAGAAGCTCAGTGGTGTACCACAGGGGAACTTGCATCTTATGCAGTTCCCCAACAGCTTTGTTGTGCAGTCATATGGCATCTGCTTTGGCTTTGCCACACCATTGTATACTCCTCGTTATTGTGTTCATGAGCTTGACACCTGCTGCTGTCAATGTCATTGAACCCTGATGGGAAATGGTACATGCACCTAATGCATGCTGTGCACCTCCTGTCTGCAGATGACTTCTCTTGACCTGGCAGAGTGGCTCACTCTCCAGTTGTACCTCTGTCACCGCCTTGCAAACAACATCCCTCCATATTTGGACTTGAATGAGGGTGCAAATGAACAGTTGATCATGACTCACGAATTGGGCAACAACATCCAGTGCTGCTTGCACCCCAACTTTGCAAATGAACTCGATAAACTGTGCTTGATTAGCAGCATTATCTGCTCCCAGAGTTTGATGATATTGGTAGAGTTGAGCGTATTGAGGTGACAATTGACTGAGTTTCACCAACATATGGCAAATCCATGCCAGCCACTCCTGAAAATGGATGTTATCACCATGAGCATCTAGTAGGTGACCCATGGCTTTGTCAACATGGGCTGCCTTATCTAGCAAATTGTTAAGAGAGTGTGCATAAGGTGAATCAGGTGTATGGCAAATACTACCATGGTTCCTGGATGACAGCAGCCTGTTGCTGCTGTACCCACTCTCTGCGAACAAGAGATGGCTCCAGTCTTGTTTCTGCAAACCAGTCCTCAGCTTCCTTAAGTCGGCTTAGAGCATCCTTCATGCACTCATCTAGCCATTTGCTGGAATGGCAATTTTGCATTGTGAGGATGTGGAGCAGGCAGCCGTCCAGAAGCAATAGGTGCTTGTTTTCCTACAGACAGTCAGTTATGAACACAGGGACCATGCAGCAGAACACACAGCAAGTGTTCATTGTATAGGGACAAGATCAGCCATGGAAGACCAGAGACACTCACAACCTTTGCCATTTGTCATGCCAAAGCCAAGCACCTTGCAAGGATTGAAGTGTGCTTGACAGGCCCATTGATGAACATAAGCATGAAAGACCAAGGTTGCAAATGACAATTGCTTGTGGAGATCTGGCAGATAGCCCCACTGAGCTAAATGTCATCTATGAGCTAGGAAAGACTTCTAAGAGCATACCTTCTCAAAGCCATGGGACAGCTGACATGCAATGTCATACAGAATGCTGATTGATGCAGCTTTTGGGAGCATGTCAGCAAGTTGTTGCAGTAAAACCAATGCATAGCAGTGCTTCTTGCTTCCTCCCTTGATGCAAGCCAGTAGAATGGGGTGATCATGCCAGCAAACCAATGCCATCAGGCCCAGTTCCACCCAAGTATCAGCTGAGGCTGATTTGCAGTTCTTGTTTGCCACCAAGTGAGAGTCTTGGCATCCATTTGATACCAAATCAGGCAGTCTAGGCCGGTGACTGCTTTGGTCATGGGGATGCCGGCAGCATTCATTGACATACTCTTCCATCACTTTGACAGCTTCTTGGGGTACAACATGTTGCAAGGTTAGAAGTGTAGGATCTGGCTTAGTACTTTGACAAAGCTTATGTTGGAAATTGCCATCTATGCAGACTAAGACATCAGGAGCACTGCAATTCATATCAGCCTGGAGTCCTACCAAGCCCAGAAGGTGCTCACCATTGAGGATTTCCTCCCCAGACCATGCAAGAAAAACACAAAGGGTGAATGTGCTGCAAGTGAAGATCAGCTTTGCCATTGATGTTTGCTTTGCTGTGTGTATGTCCAAGATCTTTGAGTTTGCAGGGTCAAACAACTGGCACCTCTTCTGGGTCATCTGGAATGTCTGCTGCCAGTTTGCTGGGTGCAGGGCAAGGTGGTGTTATTGTCTGATCTAATGCAGCCTGAATGTTGTTGTTCATTGAGCACTCCACAACCATGAACCACAGGATGGCATCAGGCAGTTGCTGCAACAGTGGCACCTAGATGATCATGAGGAGCCTGTTTTCCCTAAAGGAACATATCGCACCAGCTGGGGTAAGAGATATCTGATTGCAGTCACATATGCAGACAGTGCTTCACTGAAGGCCGCAACTGGTACCCTATGCCAAACATGCAAGCACCAATATAATTCCAGCAGATCAATTGCCATGGCAGTTTGCAGCTGGGCAGGCAAACATGGGAACCATCCATTCAGAACAAGGGTGACTGGTGAGGATATGCAGTGCTGGCAGTATTTGATAGTCATAAGGCTGAGGCCTATGTGCTTCGTCAGTTGACTACAATTGAGGGCATAGGATCTATGCACTGCACATGGAAAACACCTGGACAGAACAGCTTTGGAGATCACCACAACAACAGGACAGTTTGCAAGCAAAGCTGTTGAGCAATTTACATGCAGAAATACCTAATCAAGCACATTGCGATTCTTTATAGCATATGTACACTTACCTAAGATGACTGAGAAGACAATGCCATTCCATATATGCCCATTGCCATCATTCTCCGTGTGTGTGTCATGCTCCCAATTGTGATCAACCATCCCACCACACAAAATTCACCATTCTCCAGTTGCAGCTCATTGAAAAGTAGTACTCCAGGTGATTTGCCATCACTATCCACTGGAAAGCTCATGGTCAGAGGTAGTGTTGCATGATGTGGAGTGAATAGCATAGATGGAATGCTGGAGTGCTGACCCATGCAAAGAGCCAATGAAAAGGTATTGGGTGAACTGTCTGGTGTGGAACAATTTGCCTCATGTGCAGCCAGTAAATGAGCTGGATGATTGGGATTACCATCCCATGGTGAAGAGAAGGGACTGGGCACAGTATTGTGAACATTGCTGGTATGTTGATCTGGTGTGCTGCATTGGCAGACAGCTGAAACAGTATTTGGGTTGATACAACATCTCGTTTTTTTTGAGGCATATCTGCTAGGGTGATGGCTCCTCATTTCTTGCATTGGTGAGGTTGAAACAAGCTCGCGTTGTCATGTAAAGCAGAACGTGGTTGATGCTGAGGCATATGAGGAGGAAGGGGAGTAGGGTGAATGATAACAATGGACAGCCACCAAGCAAATGATTTACGGCAAATGGCCGGCAAACTGGATTACTGAGCACTCATGTGCCATTTCCCGAACGGTAGCCCACACTTAGGTGGTGGGAACGGACCCAAAAAGGACCCTCGGAACGGCACTTGATGGGGCATCTTAGGTTCTGCTACCCGCGACAGTGTGGTGGAAGGGACGTCGCAGGGTCGTACGACGACTGTTTCCATGGCTGTGTTGGCTCATACAGGCTTCGCAAGTTTAGGGCAACCGGGAATCGATTATCTGATGGTATGGAGTGGGTGGTATAGGTACAACAAGATGAGCTATGCATAAAAGACGATATAAAGAATAATCATACATACGTTCTCCCAGAGTCGTAGTATGCTCACACATCTATGTGGATCACTGACAAAGAAACTGGAACATGACCTCCAAGCTCTGACAACTCGGCGGCTTGGCAGACTCCCGGCGAGCACCACACAAACGTTCCTCAGATTCGGCAAAAAGCTCGGCGGCAACTGCCCGATCGAGCGCAGCGAGTTCCTGCTCGAGGTCGACAACGCCGGGAAGGAAGGTCACCCCTCCCAAATGCTGCACCAGCCGGAATATACTACTTATATCTTGCGCCAGCACAGGGGAGGCTCCGGGTTTGCTCATGTCCGTCTCGGAGAGGTAGCGGACTTCCCCAAGCTTGAGAGTAAGTAGCTGCTTCAACTCGCGTGGGCGGAAACGGCCGGGTTCGGACAGGCGGATGACACGGCGGAGGCCTGTTTCCTCTAAGGGTAGGCCCCAGGCGTAGGACACACTGTCGGTGGAAGACAGTAGCTGCAGAGGACGCAGGCGCAGGGAAGGAGTAGGGTATGCGAGAGACCATGTAGCGTTTCGTGATGACTCCGAAGAAGAGTCTCCTACGAGGGTATGAGCTACAAGATAAAGCGTCTTCTCGTGCGGGGCGCGATAGAATGTAGTGCGCGATTGACTTTCAGATGGTCAGGTTGGATACTTCATGTGCTTTGCCAACGTACCCATTCGAGCTTGAAGAAGCTAATGCCCATTCATCTGAGCTCGTTGTTTCCGCGTCACTTCCACTGCTGGAAGGCGTTTCAAACAAAGGGAAGACACCATAGCATCTCCCCTTTCCGTCCCTGACCATATACTCATACTTGAGTAACACGTCCTCCAGCTCCTGGTCGGTATACATAAGCTTACGCTCCCCGTTCTCGAGCAACTTGAGCAGGGCGACAACGTCCCTCCGCGTCCCGTCAGGATTCTCGACGTCGAAGTTCTTCCCTTGGCTGGCAGACCACTCATTCAACGCGGGAGTCACCATCGAATGAAAGCCGTCCCAGCCGACTACATCCGCATTTGCGACTTTCAAGAGTACTGCGACTCGCTCGTGTACTTGGGCTTGGTGCAGCGCGGTGTACGCACGACGCCAGAACTGCCCACGTGCATTACGGAACTCTTGCGCTTCGTGCATGCGTATGAGGGTAGTTCCGTCAGAGAGAGCACAGCAGACCGTCCAAGCGGTAATTGAGCATCCGCCAGTCCAGGTGCTGGGCGGCAGGTTAGTGCCCAGCAGGTAAAGTGCACAATCTTCGAGTCTGGTATACATTTAGCTCCATAAATTAGGGAGGTTCTTTTTGACCTACGAGGCGCAGAGTGGGTTCTTTGGGTTCTCGTTTGATTTCCGTCTTGTGTGCGGTACGAACGTCGGACAAGACATCTCTTTGCTAGCAATGAGCTTGTCCAGTCCATCTTCCATGAATTGTCCCATCCTGAGCATAGTCATCGACAGACCACGGGAAAAGTCCGAGACAGACCAGAGCACCAAGCAGAGGCAAGGCGGCCAGGGCGCTATATGGGGCCTACGGGGTACGCGCAAGCGCCACACGTGACCGAGGTGCATATCAAAGCCTCGTGGAGGCCATGATGGTACCGGGTGCGCTGGTTGAGCGGAGGGGGGTCGGCATCCGCCCGGGAGCGAGAGGGAGATTATCGGCAGATCGGAGCATGCGGACGGATCTAGACTTGGGAGGGAAGGAGCGCGGAGACCTGAGGGAGGTGGGCCGCCCATCGGTTGTTTGGGGTTCGGTGGAGCGGTGGGGAACAGGCCATTCCCCGCCCTAATGTCGCGACTTGCGGGTGCGACTAGACCAGTTGTGGGAACTACGCAGTCATATGTCCAACGTACACGAGATTAGCCATACCAGTGACTAAAGTGAAAGAAAGAACACTGGATATTTCCGACGGAACATGTTCCCGGAATGAAGGCAGGAGACACGACAGCAAGACAACTTTCTAGAAGAAAATAAGCAAGCACAGTTTGTTCAGAGAGATATTCACATTTCCGGACGAATAAACATGCCTAGCTGCTGATGTTGAGCAGTTCATTGTCCAGGCGTACGTTGGATGAGGATACAAGAGATGTGAAAGAATCTGCTGCCGTTGGTCCGTGCGGAGAGTTCAAACTCCGCGGTGTACCCAAGAATTTGCTTCCGTATTGCGTCCTTTCTACGCCTCGCGACCACCAGGGCAGCTCAGAGAGGCACGACCTTGCTCAGTCAGAGTCGTCCTCGCCGTCTATTCTCAACATGTCACGACAGCAAGCATCAAAGCGCCCGAAATTAGACGGTGGACTCGCTCTACCACAGCAGTCGACTGGTTGGCCAACAACGGTCGGTACACCGGCACGCGTTCACACGCCAGGTCAACCGGCGAATGGCGGGTTGGCTTTGCCAGCCGGAGGGGTGACTGGGTACACTCGGGGTGCGTGTTTATTCGCGTCGCTGGTATCAACTCTCTGAAATTGCTACTCAGCTCAATGGACTACTGTACAACCGACCCAAGTACAGCAGCAGATGGATCCTACTATCGATCCTGCTCTTCAGGCTGCGTTAGCACCCTTTCTTGTGCTGCCAAGCGTTTGCTGATGCACGCGCTGTTTCAGTGCCTATCCTCAAGCTATGACTACCTCCCCCCCTCTACAACGATCTGCATCCAGCGCCTCACAGCCAAACGCGTCTCAACCGCAAGCTGTACCGCGCCTCACCGCTGCTGAGCAGGCGGCATGGGACGAGTATGTTCGCAAGTACTACGAGTACTATGGTGCACCTCCACCTGCCCCTACACCTAGTGGCACCCAAACGCCCGCTGTAACAGCTGCTGCCTACCAGCAACAGTCAACCGCTGCTGCTTACCAAGTATATCAACAACGTGTCGCCTCTCAACAATCACAATCGTCACAATCGCAATCTTCTCAGCCAGCGCAGCAAGAAAGTCAGCAGAGCGCACAATCGTCGCAATCTGCGTTGCAGCAACCCGCTTATTCCCAGTATGCGCAGCAGCTTTTCCAGCAGCAACAACAACAACAAGCACATGCTCAATATGCCTTACCTGGGACAGGCGTCAGGAGAGGACGGCCTGTTGCGCAGAAACCGGAGAATAAGGAGACGATCAATGATGCGTTGGGCAGTGCTGGTGTTGATCTCAGGGTGCGTCATCAACACCTTTACCGGTTATGGTATACTGACCGGTCCCCCAGGCTGAAGAAGATGCCATTCATCGCACATATGATGCTGTCCCAGGATCGTATCCTGCTGTTCTAAATCCCCGCGATGACCGAACACGAAAGCAAACGTTCATACCACCGAATGCCATGATGAAGCGTGTTAACGGGATCGGTGAGCCGTAGGGAGCCGCGGAACAGACATGAAAGCTCACACTGCGCAGCGTCAGGATATAGTGTCAAGAATGTGACGTCCGATGCCTCTTCTTACATTGCTCTCGCCGCACAAGCACATATCTCGACCTTATTACGTGGCGCCCTTGCGGCATCAAAAAACAGGCAACTGGCGGCAACTGGCGTTATGCGCCCGCCTGGTCTTTATCCTCAACCTGCCGCATCCGAAGAGGATTCTCTAGCACCACCATTACCTATGTGGTCACAGGAGGTCACTCGCGATGTAGGCAAGCAGCTTGCCGCTATCGAACGGGTACAGCGGGCCAACGAGCTGCAGGCACGATTGAAGAAACGAGAAAGGGAGGATGCGGCAAACGGCGCCAACGGAGAGGCAGGCGGTGAGGATGATCAGCCAAAAAAGAAGAAAAAGAAAGAAGGGCCGGGAGTCGCTGCGCGGAACATGAGCGAGGGTGTACGCAAACGCCTGTCGGACGCGGTCGCTATGCGTGCAGCTGGTAACGCGAGCAGCAAGTATTCGTGGTTGCAGGCCGGTGCGGCTGCTGCGCAGGGCCCTATCCAGCCACTGAAGAAGCTGAACAAGAACAAGGAGAAGGACGCAGAGGCGGCCCCTGCTCCCGCAGCGAGTTCAACCGTAGCTACCGCCAAGACGAAGGGCCCTGCTGGAGGCTGGGGAAGAGCGTATCAGAACCTGAAAGAGGAGGCGAAGGATAACCGACGGAAAGTCGAAGTACGAGACGTGATTTGGGCCATGGAGGGTCGTGCTGGGAGTGGGATACCCAGTGGGGGTGAGAAGGGTGTTGGAAGAGGAGGCAGAGGCGGGACACGCTGGAGAGGGTGGGAAGCTTGGAGTAGGATAAGGGAGTAAGTGGTGTGTTGCTAATGATGTGGGGCATCCCTTTTTGCTGCAGTGGGTACATGTTATTTCCTTCTATTTTCCTCTTCTGAGTCAAGAGCAACTTTGGTGTTGTATCAATGGTCTTGTAACCTTAGTCTCCGTGCGTTAGGTATGGAATCCAGCGAGTGGTGCTCCAAGTGAAAAGGGATGAAGCGACTGTAAATTGTTACAAGATGTTAAAGAATCATTCGACGTATCTGGCCATCCTGGGGAAACGGTGATGGAACGACGGTTGACCCTTTTTACATACTCCGCACGTGCTCTGTTGCTAAAACCAGAAACGCGGGAGCAATTAACGCGCCGCCTTCGGGAACGTCTTCGTTGATGAGCTCACCGGACCGCACCGCTTGCTCGCCGACCAGCTGGAGCATACATACCCATTCCATCGTCCCCAACGCGCATACACTTACCAAATCTCTGCCTAAATGCTTCGTGCGCTTCACATTTTGCTGAGCCGCATTTTGCTGAGCACGTAACCCGCTCTCGTCAACGCTTGACTCCACACTTGCTACACGTCCACCATGTCAGAGCCTTCGGAAACGCAAGAGTACCACGCTGCGCCCGTGTCGAGCTTGAGGAACAGGTTCGAACAGCTTGCTGCGCAGTTATCAGCAGCCCCGGTGGCTCCGACGCCTGCGTCCTCCGCACGTGGAAGGCCACTTGCACCGAACAGTGGATCCGCAGCGCCTAGTTCGCAGTCGCTCACTGTATCCCAGTTCGGTGAGGGGACACCGCGAGTACGGGCGAGGAGCAACCCATCAGCACCGCCGCCTGTCCCATCTCACAAGCCACACCTTGAAAATGGAGCATCAGAGGGGAACGGAGTGCCCAACGGAGGTTTGATCGCTCCCACGCCACGGAAGGCAAGCGAAGGGGTGAGGGGCTCTCCGTCATCCCCTGATCTGGGAGTGGCGTATAGGAGAGATGCCTATCTCGAGGCCGCCAGTCATGGCGCGTCATCTGAAGGCTCGCTCTTGGGCGACAATGTCCCTTCTCGACCGATCTCGAGACGCGAGTCCCGCACTCCATCGCCGTCCGGGCCCGCAGCGATCTCCCGCACCCCGGCCCCTAGTCCCCCTCGAACACGTACTCCAGCACCAGCCCCTCCACCACCCCGAGCACGTACACCCGCATCACCTCCAGCTGCAATGACAGAACCTATTGTTCCCTCGGTGTTCTCTGCCCCTGTATCCACTGTCACAAGTCCGGTACCGACAGTAGTCGTCGATTCCGCTGCACTTGCTAGGAAACCGCCACCACCGCCCACACCAGCTCGACCTCGCGTATCAGGAGGAGTTAACTCCGCCCCATCCCTGGCGTCTGCGCCAGAGGGCCAGTCGACGAAGTACATGGGGCTACCCCAACGATCCCCATCGAGCCGCTCCCTCTCACCAGTGCCTCGGTCGTCCTCTGCCCCGAGTGTCTCCGCACCTCGAGCAATACCCAACGGCAGCTTATTTCACGAGAGTACAGTTCCAGAACACGGCCCGTTCACGGAGTCTCCACCACCCTTACCCGCGAGGCCAGGAGGTGCGCCGCTAACAGATGAGCTTGGGCGACGATTGCCACCGTCCGCACCCCCATCCAGTTCTATGTCCCTCCGCCATCGACCAACAGTGTCTACCAGTGCTGTTCCTGCTCGTGGTCCACCTCCCTCAGTTCCACCCCGCCCATCGACCAGTAACAAGATCTCTCCTGTCCTGCGACCAGAAGTACTTTCGTCTGAAGCACCACCGCTCCCTTCCCGCCCACGCATATCTCCTATCTCATCCACCGAAGACCCATCCACAATACATGGTTCAGGTTCCAATTCATCAGTAGTCGCGTCGCCCTCCTCTTCGTCTGGAGGGACTCCGTCGCAAGGGGTCGCACCGCCGTTACCCTTACGCAAGGTTAATCCGCCGCTACCTGTTTCAGGGACGTCCCTAGGCTTATCTCCTGAAACACCGCCAAGCATTCCTCGCATGCCCCGTTCTGTACCTCCTATGCACCCCGCAATTGAAAAGCGTCAAGCATCCCTCCATGAAAGCAGCACAAGCCCGCCCCCCGCGCCTAATCCTGTTCCCGCACATACACCTCCTCCAACCCGCGCAGTCGACCTCCTATCAAGTCTCATTCCTTCTTCATCTCTACCACATCTTCCACCTCCTTCGCGAAGCATCCCAAACTCTATTCGTGCGCCGAAAAGGGAGAAGAGCGGAGACGACGACAGCGAGAGCGAAGAAGAGTACGAGAACGGAGATCTTCTCTCCCCACCAGGCGCTTCGGGCTCGTCTGTTCATTTGCCTGTACCTGGAACAGGCCTCCGCAGAGGTATTGAAGACATGCCAGATACAACGCATTCCAATCGGCGACCGCCGCATATGTTCGTTGACCAGCGTTCTTTTCCCGCTCGGAGTCATCTCAACCAGTGGCCAGTGGTAGCAATGGCCGGCTCGTTCGTCGTGGTCGCGAACTGGGGCCTCACAGTGTATGACATAGACAAGAGCGACACCGAAAACACTGTCGCGCTCAGTGTGAGCTTAGAAGAAACGGGTCTGGAATGGAGAGTTAAGGAGCCGCGGGTCACTGCCGTTGAATTTCGGCCCGGTGCGATCAAGGAAGAAGACGGACGGTATGCGTGGTGTGGAACGAAGGACGGCCATCTGTGGGAACTCGACCTCTGGACAGGAAGAATCACCGAAACGCGCTCGCAGGCTCATTCATCTGCTGTGACGCACATATTCAGGCATCAAAGGAGCATGATCACTATCGAGGAGAGCGGGAAGATGTTTGTCTTCGACTCTGATGAAGCTAGTGGGATGGGTGCACCCCAAATGAGCATGAACCCGCGGCTCATCAGGATCGGGGAGAAGCAGACATTCGCGAAGGTATTGGGAAAGCATGGGGAGGTTTGGACAAGTGAGGGGTCTGGGCCTGGTACGGTTGGAGGTGCGAAGAGCCTCTCGAGCACGCCGACAAAAGGCCCAACTATAAGGATATACGACATCCGCTCACAAGAGAATGGAGGAGTGCCCTACCGCACCATCGTTTGCCCTGAACCGCTCGGGGCAGTAACGACCGGCTGCATCCTTCCAACCCAACCGGATACGGTCTACCTAGGACATGAAGGTGGTTGTCTGTCAATCTGGTCTCTGGCGGACGAAGAGCCCAAGTTCATCACAGGCGTTAAGATCGGCCCAACTGACATCCTCGCCCTCGAAGGGGTTACGAATCGCCTTTGGATCGGAAATCGACAAGGCATCATCGCCGCGTATGATGTTGCCCCCTGGCCGTGGAAGCTGACCAATTTGTGGCGAGCGCATGGGGACAACCCGGTGTCGAAGTTGATGGTGGACGTCATCGGTATCGAGAGAAATCAGAGACTGGCTGTGCTTAGTATGGGGAAGGATGAGAAAGTGAGAATATGGGATGGGCTTCTCACATATCATTGGATCAGTAAGTCTCCTCATTTCACATGTTTCTTCATTGCTCATACAGTGCAAGATGATGAGCTGCTTAAGCGGGAGGAGCAATTCAGTACCTTCCGACCGATCAATGTCTTGCTTTGTACCTGGAACGTAGATGCAGCGAAACCTGAGATGCTCACTGGCACACCGGACAACGCCACTTTCTTCGAGCAAGTTTTGCATTCTGTCAACGCCCCTGATATCATCGTTTTCTCATTCCAAGAACTTATCGATTTGGATAATCGCAAGCTGACAGCTAGTGAGCTCTTTGAACCCACCTCTCTGCTGGTTTCCTGACCCGGCATGAATTAGAAACTGTCTTACTTGGTGGTGGGAAACGCTCGGATGGCGGCATCTCTGATAAAGTATCCAGCCGTTACCGTCTCTGGTATGAGAAGCTTGTCTACGCGGTTCGCGTTGCCATGCCTGCCGAACAACCCTATGTTCCGATATTAACCGAAAATCTCGTTGGCCTGTTCACTTGTGTGTTTGCACGAGCATCGGAGAAGTCTTCTTTCAAGGATGTTCATATAACCACAGTGAAGCGGGGAATGGGTGGCATGTACGGCAACAAGGTACGCTTTTCGCAGAGTCTGGTCTTTCGAGACCCTAATCTTCTTCAGGGCGCTATTGTTGCTCGGTTTACAGTCGACGATTCGTCTTTGTGCTTCATCAACTGTCATCTTGCAGCTGGTCAGCGTCATGTGAGGGAACGAAATACGGATGTCGCTGCTGTCATGGAAGATAAAACGCTTCTTCCCGAGAGTGAGATTGCTGATGATGACAACTTGGCGTATGGAGGCGGTGGCGATGGTACGATGGCTTTGGATCATGAGATCTGCTTCGTGAGTCTCGGCGGTATCTATACAGGACCTATCACTGATGGCAGTGTAGCTCAATGGCGATCTCAACTATCGCATTGATCAGCGGCGTGACACAGTTATCACGAATATCAAGAACGATAGTCATGCTGATTTATTGGCGCATGACCAATTGCAGAAGGAGCTGAAGAATAATCCTGGATTCCGATTGCGAGGGTTCAGGGAGGCACCCATCACATTCAAACCCACGTACAAGTACGATCGACGGAGCGATGATTACGATTCGTCTGGAAAACAACGGACACCAGCCTGGTGCGATCGTATCCTTTTCCGGTGCCGTGATCCCAAGCGTATCGAACCTCTTGCGTACAAGCGCCTTGAGCCGAACATCTCTGATCATCGACCAGTCGTAGGCGTGTTCAGGGTGACCGTCAAATCGCTCACACATGAACTCCGCCAAAAGGTGAAGCAGCAGCTGCTTGAAGAGTGGAAGGCTGAGCTGTCCAAAACCCTCGGGCTTGCGGTGGAAGCGTACGGGCAGCAGGGGCTGCTGGTAAATACTCAAGCTCATTGATACCCATCATTATATGGTATTCCCGTGGTTTCACCCCACTACTCCTGCTTGTAACCACGTCCATCTGTTCTCATAAGCGACACACTGTATTCTAAGTATGGACCCCAGTAACTTTATAGACTTATTATTTGATTATTTGACGTGGCATGCAGATGTAGGTGACTGTCATGTGGGAGAGGCCGTGCTTTCACCAAGAAGTTTGATACACTGCCACCTACAATTCAGTTCCATATCTTTTGTCTCTGCCTTGTTCGTGCAAGTTCGCTCTGGTCATCATAAGTTCTTCGCACTTAGCTAGGCTCTGAGTAATCTCCTGCGCAAATGGGACGAAGATCCTTGGACAGGATCTCATTTGCTGACAGGGCTCATGGAGGACACATGATCGGCATACGGCGATATTTCGGCTTTCTTCTTCGGGTATTCCGCACCATGAGGATCCTCCTGTATCAATATTGTGAAACTGCGAGCCTGTACCGTGCTGGACATTCTCTCTCTTGAAGACGACTATGTCTGTTCTCGATGCTGCACTTGAGTTAGAACCGGTCGCTGTCCTGCGAGCTTTGCAAGCCGAACAAGGCCCAATATCGATATCCCATGAAACCTCCAAAGTTGATCACGTCACAGCGCCGTTGCCAGTCCTCCTTTCTAGCACGCCTTCTGCAGAGGCAGTCGAGCTGAGCTCAATGCCTACTGCAGGCAAAGGCTCGTTGCGAGAGCGAGTGCCGACTCCTGCTCCCTCCGCTCCTTCAGACCAGCCTGCGGAGCCGACCTTGAGCAGGCGTTATCAGCGGATTTATTTAGCTACAAGCGTTGTGGGCTCGGCAGTCAGTACGTTGGGGTTTTTGGAGTGACGATTCGTGGTTCTGAAGTTGTCTCCAGTTGGTTGGAGCGATGGCTCGACTGGACCGTTGATTCTCCGGATGGAGTCCAACTACAACGCAAGTATGCCTTGAAATCCTTCGAAATTGTCTCACTAGGTATTCAGATCGGCTATACCGTCGTTTTTCTCCTCTTCATCGCGGCTTTTGTGCTAGGGAATTTGATGCTGACTTTGATGAACTTGCTAACGGCTTCAGGGATATGGGCTAGCCGCACTTGTTACTGTCCCGCTCACGGACAGGCTTGACTTTGGAAAAGTTGTTGTCCTCGGTTCCATCCTTCAACTTGTTGCATTCGCAGTTGAAGCCGGAGCACCGCCATGGCCGGTCTTCGTGGTCGCTTATTCTTTGAACGGGTTTGCCGTGGCGATCATGGGCGCACAGGTGAACGCGTTTGTGGCATGTCTACCTGGCGGTAACTGGAAACTCCAGTTGCTACATGCCGGCTATGTGTGTCACTTAGGCTCTTCTTTCATTGGAATCAAGCTGAATCCGAGAGGTACAGGGCGTGGGCGCTTTCATCAGCCCATTGGCAGCTACCCAGTTCGCCCAGGCAACACATTGGTCTTTCCAGTATCTCATTGCTGGCTGCCTATCTGTCGTAGAAATCATACTTTTCTGTGTTATTTTCCGCTTTCGTACACAGTCCCGTAAGTTCTATCCGATGTTGCTGAGTCTAGCCTGATATCGTCTGCAGAACTTCTCCACACCCCTCCGTCTACAAGCTCTCCGGATGGGGGGAACAAATACCGCCAGATCCTGCGCCTGCGCCTGGTTCATCTCTTCTCCTTTTTTATACTTGTCTATGTCGGACTCGAAGTCTCCATCGGCGGGTGGATCGTCACCTACCTAGTACAGATCCGGGGAGCAGGCCCAAGTGCAGGATATGTACGCAGCGGCTTCTGGGGCGGTCTTGCCATGGGGCGTTTGCTGCTCATCTGGGTGAACGAGAAACTGGGCGTGAAGCGGGTTATATTCCTATATCTTGGGCTTGCTTTCGCACTCGAGTTTGTCGTATGGTTTGTTCCAAATGCCATAGGGGACGCAGTCGCAGTGTCGGTAATTGGGTTATTGCTTGGGCCGTTCTACCCCTGGGTTGTCGGCACGGGGCAAAGATTGTTTCCAGCTTGGTGAGTCATCTCCCACCCACTCCCAAAGAGTTTTCCTCATATGACCGCGTCTGCAGGCTCCTCACTGGCTGCATAGGCTGGATTGCATCCGTAAGCTCCGTTCTCCCTCACTATTCACACATTACGCCTCTCTCCACGCCTGCCGTAAGCACCGCTGATCATGTCGTAGTTCGGCCAGGCAGGTTCAGCTGTCTTCCCCTTCCTTACCGGCGCCCTCGCGCAGAAATATGGCATTCAGGTGCTCCAACCGGTGTTGGTCGCCATGATCGTAGCAGAGGCAGCGATTTGGAGTGTGATCCCATTGGGAGAGAGAAGGACGGACTGAGGGCGTCTGGAGGCGCACCAGCAAGCTAATTATGAGCGTCATGTGGGTCGCGAAGCGAGAGAAGGAATGTGGGGAGATATAAGCAAACTCATCATTATTGATACAACTCTGCCGGTGCCCTACTCATGACGGCCAGACCAGGGCATCTCGGCGCTCAGCTTGACATTGCACAAGGGTATCACAGTAAGATTTATCGTCCCTCACGCGGGTATCCCACAGCTCACTCGTGCGCCGAGGCTGACTTCATACTATTCTCCCTCTCTCGCCACTCGTAAATCTAAATCTCATTAGTATCATTCTCAACGGAAGGCATAGCAGGGCACACCTGCATATAGAACCGAGGTGCATCGTCCACAATGTACTGACCACGCAGGTAACAGATTTTTACTGAACCTCAATCTTCTTCCAGTATGAATCCCAATATAATCCAATCTCCGGCTGAGTCATCCCAAGCTTGGTCAGACTTCTATCCACATCAGACAGGTATCACACACCTCAGTGATCCAATCGCCCACATCTATCAACCTGGTCAGACAAGCTGGGACACTGGAGAATGATATGGACGCACGGCCTTTACGACACTCCCATCTACCCCCGCGGTGTCCTACACGGTCACCCGGGAAATAGAGTTTGTTTCTCTCCCAGACGAAGGCGACGCGATTTTCGGGCATGGTGGAGTTTGACGGTTGGGAAGGTGGGGGGGGGAAGAAACTGAGGCGACGGTGTGTGACTTGGTCAGGGGGGTAGAGATGAGGCGCGGGGAGGCAACAGCAGCGAGAGAGCAGACGCAGAAAGCGATACAACAACAGCACGAAACAGCGTGACCTGACGATTAGCACTTGAGAACTCGGGCTTTTATACCCACTGCGGTGCGGTACAGGATCAAGGAGAGGGACGAACAGGGTCACGCCATCAGCAGGTCATTGTCCCCGTCTTTTCTTTTCTTTTTTCCCGAGGCTCTTTTTCCGGCTTGCTTGATGTGTCTGCTCGGGGCCGGATACGTATGTTGCCGCACGAAGTCGAAGCGCAAGTATGACACGGGTAACTGTATGACTGCACCGCGGCCAGTGTTGGGCAAGATGCAAATCCGATGGCGACACCCGTGAATGATGAGAAGAAGTGGGATTGCCGATGTAGGATGCGGGGCTGACTCGAACGGCCGCCTTGCGATAAGGACTGATTAACTGATGTGTCCAGCCGAAATGCGGAGTTTCTGCGGTCTACTGCTTAGTTACGTTGGGGGACCAGGGAGAAAAAAACACGCAATGTACGGCGCGTCACTGATGCAATGCCGCGCGCGTAACTAGGGAAATTGCGGCAGGAAAATACATTGGAATACCTGCTTAGGGGGTGAACATGACGTCCCAGGCCCGGCTTCTTTGCAACAGACTGTTACAATCCAATAACCCTAGATAATTCACAATCCTCTCTACTGTCTCCTAGCCAGCAGTTTTCTGGAAGGAAACACCTTACACATCAGTTCCACACACTTCTTGCCTGGAGCAAAGTGTAACGGCAATTGTAATAAGGCAACACGAGCATGAAGGGTTAAAGGCACCGAACGAACGTTTCGAACTAACCCCCTTGTCTTCGGCCACCATGTGCTGTTTGTCCCTGCTTCCCACTCCTCTGGACTGGGTCTTCCTGCTCCATTTCATCCCCTAATACTATAGGCGTTAATCGGCATACCAATGACTTCGAGCCAATTCATTGTTCATTCCCGCCCTTGCTTCGTTTCGGCAGGCAATACTTTTTCACGCGGCAGAAGGTGCTCATTAGGTTCGAGTTGGCACTGGAACTCTACTAGTGTTGAGCCTGAGCCTTTACTGCGAGCTGTAGGCCTCCGCTTGCTGATTTGTTGGTCACAACAGGTTTGCAGGGAACATCCTTATTACGCTCTCGGTCATAAGGCCACTCGATTTCATACCCGAGGCTCCTTTAGGAAGCTCGTTGATGTGCTAGGTCGGAGCGTTGCCCCAGTCGTTCGGTGCGCTACAGGGGTGATAATCATTCGACACATATGAATCTTTGCTAACTTTTACAGCACTGCATTGCATCGATCAATCCAGCTCCTCTGCCCTCACTTCTTCATCCGTGTCTTCCTCATCCTCATCATCCTCATCCTCATCTTCATCCTCTTCATGCTGCGACGCTTGTGCCCAGAGCCTTCCCATAAATGCGTTAAACAAACCCCTCATCCCTCCTTGCCCCGCCGTCTGTCCGTCCGGCTGCACCGGATCGATCTCCCCTTCTGGATGATCAGGGTCAGCCGCGTCTTCGTCGGGCGCTTCCCAGGCACCTGGGGCTATGCCCGCACCTTCCCGCGCTCGGTGGGCGGCACGGGCTTGTTCTTGCTGTTGAGCGATATGTTCCATTAGGGCTTGCTGTAACTGGATGAATACGTGAGCATGTGAAATAATGAGGTGAAAGAATAAGGGGCGAAGAGGGACCTACAGCGACATTCTCAGCATCCCCTCCGACTTCTCCGCCTAGCAATTGCGCCAATCTTGCCATGAACCCTTCCTGGCCCTCCTCACCACCAGCAAGCACCCTCTGCCATCCCCTACCACCAGCACGGCCATCGCCAACTTCAAAGTACGCATCATCGTAGTTGCTGATGCTGGTCGCAGGCGGGAGGGGATCGTACCCCATGCCGACATCGCGTGTTACGGCTGGAGGAAGAAAAGAGAAGAGAGAATTGAGATCTGCGACAACGAGGTGCCTGCAGATCCAGAGCGGTGTCGGCCGTCTCTTCATGTGCGTTTCGGTTAGAACATGATACGGTTTATCGAGGTCTTGAAGGCAGGTGGAGACAGTATCGGTGAACCAGTTACTGTAGGGCGCATTCTTCCAAAGCGAATTGGACCGGTGCGCGTACAGATGTGCAAGAAGATGCAGCGTTGAAGAATTATCGTTGCTACAGGCTGTCAATGCCGAACACTGGGGTGAGAAGCTCTCATGACTCACTAGTATCCCATTTGTATCTGGAACGGCTTGCGTGCCCTGATCTCGGCACTTAATGTGATCCCCGCCTTGTCAGCTAGCACCGGCACGACCATCGGGAACTGCCACACAGCGTGTCGAAGGGCATTGGTGCTCTTCTCATGCTCGGTATCTCCCCGAGCCGTTTCGACGTCATATTCCGCCAGCGCACGTGCGTATGCCCAACCGGGAAGAAAGAAGACGTTGAGCACGTCTGCATCGGGATACATCTCCCCTGCGGGAATGGCCGAGTTCCACTGATCCCACATATCGATGATGAACTGCCCTTGTCCGGCTTTGATCGCGAGATAGTCGAGCCATAGAGAGGCGCCCTGCGGGTCTCCAACTGGATCGAGCGCTAACAACAGCCGCGCGAATTCGAAAGCCGTTCGCGGGCATCCACGCCGCTGCAAATGAGCGACATATTTCGATACGGCCATGAAGAACGGGCGGTTCTCGATGTGGTCGAAGTCTAATCGTGCACTTCCAGTGGAAAGGTTGAACGCAGGCACAAAGCAGCGCTCGAACCCAAATATAGCACGCTCGATGAACTCAGAGGCGAGGGTCAGGTCTCCTTGATGCGTCGCCACGTTGGACAGCTGAAGGAGAGTATCGACATGCCATGGGTACACTTGCAAGAGTGCCATGAGAGAATTGGGATCTACAGCACGTCAACCCCTTGTGGCATGCGATGTTGCATTGAGCGTACCGTGACTCTGAACAGCTTGCAAAAACTGATACTGGACATTTTTGTACGCTTTCGAATGTTGCGCTGTCCACCATCGTCCTCCAATACTCCCATCACCTTTTGTCCATCTCCTCCGTTCTACAAGCTCCTGCACTTCCTCGATAGTTAGTTCTCGCATTTCGATACCTTGACGTGTGTTCTGTGGGGGCCAGTTTGGTCCGGGTTTCGTGAGACGCGATCGTAATATAGGGGCATGTCTGCGATTGGAGGCAGGTTGATTTTGTTGAATCTGTGGGGAATTCAGTTATGCGGTTGTGGAACTCAGAATGAGCCGTACCACACGGGAGCCAAAGAAACGGCGTAGCTCCGTTGAGGGGTCGAGGTCCTTGTACGAGACAGAGATAAGAGTGCTGCAGGTCTTTGGTTAGGAGGGATGAATGATGTATACAAGAGGAAAACACACCGTAAACGAGTCGCTGCCATCGTTGTATGACTACTAGATGCTTCGCCTTCCTGTATAGAAGAAGATCTGGGTGTATCACGGTATCTGAAGTGGTCCTCAGTCAAGTAAATCGATCATAGCAAGGGGCAACGCACTTCTTAGCAATTTCCTCCAGCGCCTCATCCAATTCATCTTTCTTAGGCTTCTTCTCTTTCTTCTTCTTAGGAGTTGAAGTTGACGACTCTGGGTTGGTGGAACTCTGAACGTGGGGGACATTCGATGATGGGACCGCTGTATCTGCCACAGGCGTATCAAGACTGCTAGTGATTTCGACTATAGATTTCTTCTTCTTCTTCTTTGATTTCTACGAGAAAATTTAGCAACGTGCATTGGGCTTAGAAGCGAGTGCGGTGCTCACCTTCTTTGCCTTTGCCTTACTTGTCACCGGCTTATCCTCCTCCTCTTCGTCCTCTGCGCCCTCCGGTTCCTCCTCTTCGCCCTCTCCCAAGTTAAGCTACCAAATAGTTAGATTGAAATACTCATTTTATGGTCCAAGAAGACATACGCACTGCGCCAAATAAGTTCGTCGTTGTAGCCGCCGGCACAATCTCGTCCTCGTCACTCTCTGCTTCCTGCTCTGCCGCTGCAACAAGAGTTTGGTCCTTGAGCATTTGTTGCTCTTGCAGCTCCCGCTGCTGTCGTTTATTAAGACGAGGGGGCATGCTGTATGCAAATGGCACAGTTCAAGGTGATAAACAATAGTTCAGTGGGCTGACTCGACAGATGGCGCGAGTCAGGGAGACATGGGTATCGGGCATAAGCTAGGAGGTTAACGCCGCGGAAGCGCTCATTTGTTATTCGGCTCCGACCCAACACATCGATATCGATTGTGTCACAAGGCGGCTAGGGTCCACACCTCGGCATCCTCCTGCAGTGCTCCATCTCCTCGTAATATCTCCCACACTGCTAAAAATGCCTATCCAATCACAAAGGAGGAATTGCTTGGCGAGAGCGGCCCGATCTTTGTCATTGTCGCATTGCCATACTGCTTCCTGTTGTTTTTTGATGGTCTTCTAATCCGAGACCTCTAACATCATATTCTGCTGGTCGATCCGCCAATCGTCCGTAATTCCTGCTTGACTCCCTCCATCAACCATGACGATTCAATAGCAGAAGCAGATGACAATGATCGGAACTTGTTCAATCAGCAGTGATCACGATGGTGAGTGCACTTGACAGTTCGGCTTCGAAACCTTCAATTCTGAACATTTCCCAATCGCAGTAGTGACCTCGCATACGGGTGCCGTTGACAGTCGCGGTCCAGGTAAGTGATCGACCAAAAGCGTCGTATTCTTCTTATAAGCTGAACAGCGTTATGCTGTCGACCTTCGGTATCTCTGGGCCGACTGGCGTCTCAATCGTCGTGACGAATGGAAGGAGGTGGATGATGTATCTTGCTCCTTTTCCCGGATGACACTCTATCTCTCGACGCATCGTGAATTGGAACGAGAGGGCGTAAGACTGGGTCTTGATTTCGAACTGATGCTTAGAGGGCGAGCTTCGGCTGGAGACACTCTCGAGAAGGACTTCGAGCGCCCCTGACGTTGCTTCGTAGTTTTCTCCATCCAAATAGACAATGACCGCGAGCGACTCTTTCTTGCTTCTCCCGTACCAAATAAAGTCGAGTCTGCCGCTGGACCGGAAAGACGACGTGACTCGAGAGAATTGCAGATCGTCGCGGCGTCTGATTAGAGAAGGCGGAAGGGCAATGCGTCGTACCAAAGACAGCCAGTTGCGAAACATTTTTGCCTTGAACACAAGAAGGAACGGATGATTGCTCTCTTATACGATGTGGGATAGGTATTCTCATACGCTGTCCGATCGGTGTTGTGCCCTCGATGCTTTTGCCTCGTCACTCCAATCCCTCGCGGAGACTCGTGCCGGAAGTGTCAAGTCAAGCAGCACACAGTAATAGGACCAGCCGGACATGGAATGAGACGGGCCTCATGCACTGAAGCTATCTACCGAAAACTGTTTTCAAGCTGCTCCGAGCTGCTAACATGAGCGCTCTCCTCAATACTAAAACCCGGAACCGAGGCGTTCGTACGAGATTCATTCTCGAGACCATGTGGGTTGTCGTGGAGCCATCATATTCCAAAGTTGACATTGATCCTTCTAAAGGAGGGCAGGAGTGTTTGGTAGGTGGAGCCGGCGTACAGAATTTGCTAGCAGAGAGACGTCGGGTGCTCTCGGGTGTCTACGAAGAGTTGGAAGTGCCATATATGGAGGGCTTCATCGTCCGGAGACAGCACAGACCTGAGATGAAGACGCACGGCGGTCATTGACTGCGGGAAAAACGAACACACCGAGACATAGTTTTCAACACTAAAGTGGACCCACGCCGAAAATGGATGTTGTACCTGAGTATACTGTGCCGTTCAGGTTGATGCTCTCCTGCTTGACTACGCGGACATCTAGGCTGCCACAAAACTCGGTCCGGCTGTCATGATTTGACTGGTGCTCATGAGATACGCCCCATCATGTTCGGTCATCGATCAATCCCTAGATCACAAATTGTCCACTAGATCCTGGCGCTAACACCGGTACATGCCGGCGCACGCGACCGACAAGGCTTCCTGCGTGGGCTTCCTGCGTGAAGACTCTCAGCGCCTACCGCAAAGGAACTCACGACCGAAGAATCGCATATTTTAGTCCGAAGCATTTATCCCGCGGTTTATCCACGCTTCCCGGTCACGACCCGTCCGCGTCCGGCTGTTGGCTCCGGGCTATTGCCTCATTGTCCGTTGTTCTCTCTTGTAACCCTGAGCTAAGGTGTCCAACCTTCGCGGCTTCGGCTTTCTTGCATGATGATCGGAAGCGAGTATGCTGATCCGGGCATCTGTCCTCCCAAGTACCAGCACTCTGCCAAAGCTGGTGCGCAGCAAAAAGAAGTAAACTGAGGACAGGACTCCCCGCGGCGATCAACGAGCGCCCGCATGCTTTGCAGTTCTGGGTTAAGGACGCTGTACGTGCCTGTCAGATCGTGTATACATCAGCACAAATATACTCAAGTACCTTGTACGCACTGATAATCTGACCTAAGGATAGGGATGATCTTCCCGATCCTTGCCAGTCCGAGTAAAGCACCCACGTTCCCAGATATATGCAATAATATACATTCCTGCAATAGTCCAAACGGACCCATCAAAACGTACATTCTCACCGATCCTTTTCCCACCCCTGTCCTGCTCTGCATCCAAGGCGGACCGCCCCGCCCCGAAAGCAGTTGGCATCCAGAAGTCTTCCCACCCCTTTCCCCACAGCCCACCTAACCACAGCAAGCCAAGCACAAGCCACCCACCACCCGACTCAAGCACGTTGGAAATGGAACTGGAATCCTCCTTGACCAAACGGACTCCCCCCGGCCTGCTGGAAGAACGTCTCAAACCCTCCTGCTCCCCCATGGAAAAAGAACGGCTGCCCGCCACCAGGCCCATGTCCTGCAGTCGGGTCATTCGGGTCCTCCCCAGCATCGTATTTCGCCCTCAGATCAGAGTCACCCAGCACCTCATAAGCAAGGTTCACACTCGCCATCTCGTCTTCCGATCCACCCTTGTCTGGATGAGCAGACTTCGCCGCCCGCCGATAGGCCTTCTTGATCGTCCGTTCGTCCGCATCGCGGGGTACGCCGAGGATCTTATAGTAGTCTTTTTGCTTGCTCTGCTTGAGCCTCGCTTGAGCGGTACGTAAACGGTCGGCAGTGTCACCCTGCCTTGGGCGGTTGTCGGCTTCCCACGCCTGCTGGAAAAGGCGCACCGCTTCATCATATTCTTCCTTCTCGAGTGCAAGCTCTCCGAGGCCAACAAGGGCAGGTACGCTCTCCGGCCGGAGAGCGAGCAGGGCGCGATAGCGAGCTTCTCCTTGTTTGTAGCTCTTTGTATTCGTGTAGCACTCACATACCCAGCTGAGGAGTTCCAGCCTCGGCTGGCTCAGGCTTTCCGGATTTAGATGCGCTGGCAAAGGCGGCTGGAGCGCCCCGAGCGCTTTGTACATCTCTTCGTCAAACCTGGCTAACAAGCCCTCGGCTCCGTCCAGTTCGCGCTTGAGCGAAGCCCACTTTGACGCGTCGTGCAGGTTGCGTGCTTTGTCCAGCGCTTTTTGGAGCGTCTTGAGCGAACGATGAGCGCGTAAGCAGGCGGCGTTCTCCGGGTCGGAGTGGAGGCAGGCTTTGACGTGCGCCAGTGCTGGAGTCGTCGGGTTGGAGAGGAGGAAGAATGTCAGAGTCGAGAGACGCAGCGTGAGTCCCGTATCAGCTGGGCGCATATAGCTCAGTCGCCTATAAATGAACAGGAATCGGGTCAGCATACATCCTCGTATAGACGCATACACGTACGTGTAATCCGCCACAGCCTCCTCAACTGCACCATCACTCAGTTCGCACTCTGCCCTAAGCTCTCGGATCTCCGTATAATGGGTCGCCGACCTCAACACCTCTCCCGCAGCCGCGATACACGCCGCCCAGCCATGTGCCTTGACGGCGGTCCGCGCGCGTTTCTCGCTCTGCTCCGCTTCGGCGGTCTCGAATACCAGGTCTGCGGCAGCCGGGTCCCGCTCTTTCGACTTATTCGATGAGTCATTATCGAAAGCTGAGTTGTACGCCCGGAGAGACTTGCGCGCAGCGCTGAATCGACCTTCGCGCAGATGACAGCGGGCCTCTAGGAGGAGGACACGGTACATCCCCTCGTTTAGCTGTAACACTTTGGCATAGTCTTCTAGCGCAGCTTGATGTCGCGCTAGAGAGTAGTACGCTGTTGCACGCTTGTAGTAGAGGAGATATTCAGGTGTTCCAGGGTCGGAGGAGAGGAGGGAAGGGTTGGAAATGAGCTCTGAGAGAGCTGAGATTGCCTCGTTGAACTGGCCTGTGGAGAGGAGGGTGTTAGCGCGTTGTAGGAGAGGGGAGGATGTATCTGATAGTTGGGATTGTTGGGCATAGCTACCCAGTGCGAGGAGGAGGAGAAGGGGAAGACGTGATAGACGCATTGGTGACTGTCTATGTCTAGGGTATTGAGCGTGTGCAAGGGAGTGACCACGTACTGAGTGTAGGGTTTACCTGTTGAACAAGTAACGTGGCAACACACAGCCACTCGGACATATTGTAATAACACCGGGCACGTGAATAATGACCAGTTAACACCATAATGTAGAAAACAAGTACTATAATACACCATCCATGCACATCCTTCCCTCCTTTCCTATCCCTAACGCTCGAACCTACCTCGTCTCCCCCTCAACCCCAACCTCTCTCACAGGACTCAGCGGCGTATGCCCGTTTCCCCTCAGCGACTTCTCAAGGAACGTATCCTTCCCATTAGCCGTCGCTGCAGTTGGGGTCAACGTATCCTCCTCATCTTCCTCCTCCACGTCTTCCAGCTCTTCGCCAGGTCCGTCCTCGTCCTCCTCAGCCAGGGCACTGCTAGCCACTTCGCTAGATTCCTTACTCTCGCCATCTCCCAACTCTAAGCTTTCTACCCCTTCCCCCGCCCCTTCCGGTACAGGCAAAGGGGACGCCGCCCCCACACCTTCTGGCACAGCGAGCACGTCTTCCCCCAGCGCTACTTCAGCAGGACTGATCTCCGTTCCGCTCGCGGTACGCTCCGCTACTGCGGGGCGCAGGAACCCTCCACCTGCGTAGCGCGAGCGGAGCATCGCCGCCAAGGGGGAGAGGAACGGCCGTTTCGAGCTGCTGGGCGGTACAGATGCGGCCGATGGGGCAGAAGAAGTTCCCGTAAGAGTTATAGACGGGAGGGAAGGGGACGACGGTGCCGAACCTGAGCCTGAGCCTGTGGTGGACGGAAGCGGCTCGACGTCGAGTAGCGAGTCGACGGAGCGGGAGGGATGATGTCGTTTTTGTAGGTGGTCGGGTTCCTTTCCAGAAGTAAGGGTGAGCATGAGGTTCTTGAGATTTGGAAGCGTGTGGCGTAGGTCCAGGGCGCGGAGGTTGCGTCGCATCATCAGCTGCACCAGAACATTCACACCCGATCCGGACGAGAAAGGATACAGAAGAACGTACCAGTTCAATATCCTTGTTCAGCAGATAGACTGCGTACTCGAATCTGTACTGTTCCACGCCTCGGGAGTACAAAGGGAATGCTCGAGGCCCGCGCATCTCGCTTATCGGATCTCGTATCACGCTCCTACTCCCCGCGCAGGTGATACCATACGGGAGGTAAACGCCCTCGTACGCCGCTAGGAGGTAAACAACTTGCGCCACAAAGCCCAGGGCGGAGGCAACCGAGTCTTCGGTCACTCCCGGCTGGTCTGGAAGGGAGAGAGGCGGCGTAGGTGAACTAGGCAACGGGACGGGTAAAGGGCAGTCCAGGATGGTGAACAATAGGGAGGCAGGGTCCAGCGGCTGGATAGGGAAGATGAAGTCGAGTGTGCGAGCGAGGGAGGCGCGCAGGATGGGGATAGGCGCCGAGGTCTGGACGAGGGTACTACGTGCGGAGGTGACCTCTTCTTCCAGTGCTTGGGCTGCGGCGACCTCCGCTTGATGCAGCTCTCGGGCGCGGGCGAGCTGCTGCCGTCGTTCTTCCAGCTGTTTGGATTTGACAAGGATGTCATCCGACACTGTTTACGCGTGAGAACAGTACAGTTAGAAAGATGGCCAAACCCACCCTTGCGACATCGTTCCTTGACCTCCTCAGCCTGGTTCCTCACGACACGCCTCCATTCCTCCTGCTCCGCCACTCTACGCCTCATCAATATCAAGCTTTGCGGGTCCCTCAGCACCTTCTCGGCAGAGAGCGCTATTTGGTCCACACTCGCACGCGTATCGTCCACCACAGCTTGGAGGCTCGCCAAACTGCGGAGTATCAGTCCAGCCCTAATTTAGGTTTGGGTGCGACGCACCTAACCAGATCGGCAAACGCTGCACCTCGTTTAGGACCATCGCGCTTCCGATGGTTCCTCGCGTTCTTCTCCGAGTCGTCCCCCTCGTCGCGGATCATCTTGCCTAGAGGAGTGTTCAATCCAAGGAGGTCGCGTTGTAGTCAAGGCGAGCGTTATCGCCGCTGCTGCCAAGCCAGAATGTACGTATCCCAAATTTCTTAGGAATCCAATAGCAGGAATACTGGTATATGCAAGTACATCGACAGATCCTTTCCTGTATGCAGTTGATACCGTCTAAGCCGTTCGTTCGTCTGCGCAAAGAGCCGAAACGCAGACAGCAGTCCTGGTGGCGGTGCATGCATGTGCTTTTTTTAGACCCAAAAAACACGTGCTAAGTGGACGCCTTGCGGTTGTCGGCCAACTGCCAGCATCAGATTCGCTTGTTCACGGCCTTCAGTCAGTCTGAGGCGCATGAGATGGTCTATTTCTGCTAAGCCCGAGCTGGTCAGGGTCGATAAATGCTCTCCTGCCCGAAAAATATCGGCTCAACGTTCCGCCTGGTCGACAGTCCTGGACAGACCAGACTGCCCTGGTTGAATCCACGCTGTGCTTTGACGCTGTCTTCGTGGAACGACGCATTGACATATTAATATTGTAGGAATGTCATGGAAGCCATCATACGACTCGCGGGAATCACTCCCTTGCGCAAAATGATGATTATCTAATTTATGGATTACGAAGCATAGCTGGGCTGCGTCTAGGGTCGGCAATTCAAAAGCATCATGCCAGGGCATTCTGTATGTGACTGGCTGATCGACGACGTACGCTACGCGATCTTTATTGACGACACAGAACCGTTTTCAAATGAGTAATCTCAAGACTCGTTTGTTTGTCGATGTCGGTGCACCGACGATCCTAGCCATCGACTGCTTGCTTGGTAGTCAACAGCAATGCTCTCGAATGCTCGACGACGAGGACTCGTTTGCGCTGTGCTAGACTCGTATGTCAGCCTTCAGCCGAGTTGGAGGTTATAAAGACAATGTCTCTATCTGTGAGACAAACCGCAACAAACTCAGAACTCAGTGGTGCAAAGAGTTTCCCGACGCTCTTCGATTTTCACCAAATGGCGCGGCACATCTTGCAAAGACTATCTGTACACTGCTCCTACCTCTGTGACAACGAGGATTTATCGGATACAGACGACTCCCTCCCATTTATCGACGTGGCAAGACTTTCTCCACCGCCAAACGGAGTCATGGAACTCCGCTTTAACAGCGAGCAGGACGACTATTGCCTCGCTGTATCGCTTGCAGACCCCGATTGGACTAGCACGAGTGGGAAGAGCACGCTCCCTGCATCACCGACGCGACGAACCCCCTGGCAGCAAGCCCCTTCCTCCCCTCTTACGGTCCACTTCACTTTGCGAGCAGCGGTCAAAACATGTCCTGGCAGCCGCCCACGTTACCTCCTGCACACCATACCTATTCAACAGGAATCGCCCTTCGAAGGTTACACTGTACAGCAGCCCCTTACCTCCCTGGTGCTGTACAATTTACCAGCAAGTACCCGGATCGGTACGCGATTATTTTGGAGCGCATCGGTGAATGGCGAAGCCGTCCGTGCCTGGCACTCGCCAGATGGGCCGTTCGTGGCTGATGGATTCCGAGCCGACCTGAATGGACTGATCACGATTAGCCTAATAGCCCTCTGAACGATCACTCCATCTCCATTGTATTTGTCATCCGTATATATGTATTACGTCAATATACGAAACTAATCTTGTACAATGGGCTTAGGTTTCTTCCTCAGGCGGTTCGTTTCTTTTTGCCGAAGGCAGGACCCAAACGCTGCCAAGATGGTAACACCAAGTGAACCGATCTGTCTGCCGACACACATGCAGAGTGAAACTCGTAGGCTTGGTGCACCAGGTGAGGCACGGCCCACAGGGAAACGCAGTGCAGTTACGTGATGACAACGCTGAACCAAAATCGATAAAATCATCTTGACGTGCCCCGTGACCGCCTTTCATTTTCAGGGACGGAGCAGTTTGCGCAAGAGTGAGTTGTGTCTCAACTGAAACAATAAATTACTTGATCTTTGCTGACATCTAAGAGCTCTGAAACGACCTAGTGAATACAGAATACGATACACAATCTACAATGTAAGACTACTCAACATCCCAGAATAATACCGTACGACATCTTTAATTTGCAGTAAGCGTGATCGTGACCATACCATTCAGATCCGCTTCGAAACCTTCAATGTTTAGAGTATCATTCGCATACATACATCTTTCTGGCGGGGCCCCGTTCACTGTCACCGACCACTGCAATACTACTCCCGCCGGATCCCTCTCCTCCTCCAAGTTCCAGATCGTCACCCTGGTGAGGGGGCCAGGAACCACATACACGGGTTTTTCGCCGTCGGGTGTTGGGATGCAGTAAAGGGTATATTCGGCGCCGTGGCCAGGAAGGATGGTGATAGACGCTCGTACCATGTAGTGTATGGTGAGGGAGGAGATGGGCAATTCTGCATCTGTACCGGTGCGCGAGCGGAGAAAGAGCATGGTCTGGCCTCCGGCACCCGCATAGTCTCCCGGACGAAGAGCCACATTGAGTCGATATCGGTTGCTGCCTATTGGGGGCTCCAGATCCAGTTCGATGTGTCCCTCCGCAGGAGGTTCGATGATCGCCAGCGGGATATCGACAACTTCTTCTTCAGGAGGTGGTGCCAGCTCAACGATTCCTCCGGGTTCCGGACGCGGAGGGAGCCAAAGCCGACGAATACGATTATACATCCGGAGAAAGAAAGCCAGCAGTTCCATATATTGGGTCCGGGAACACGTCAAGGACGAGGGGATAATTTCAGCCAAAGAATAGAAGTTACAGACATGAAAATGTTGGCTATTGGGAGATCGGTCGTTCGACACCTCAGACTGTTATATACGCTCGAGAGCTAGCATCCACCGCCCACACCCGGCCCTCTGAATAGCATGGAAGCTAGGCGCAGCGCACACCAGTGCATGTGCTACTCGAAACCACTTATGGTGTGCCGACGTAGCCACCAGCCCACCTCTCCTGGGTCCGATGCACACCTACGCATGCGCATTACGTATCGCTGAGTCGGTGTTGATCGTCCGCCAGAGGTTGCTCCTCACCGTATGGTGGTCAAGATATCCATGAAGCATATGCAAGAGAATAACCATGTTAACCGGATGATGACTCCTGAGAGACTCTAGCATAGTTGAGGTGAGCAATGCTATGAGGTCCATGCGATGCACGGTCGCACTGGCTGTGCTGTCGGGCGATAGTCACGTGTCGAGAAATCTTACAGCCGGAGCTGTACGCCAGATCCGACAAAATCCGGAGGATTTTAGGATCAACAATAGATTCAAGTACAACAATAATGAGCAGACTACGGGTTATACCGAGGTCAGGGGGGATGCATCATTAACAATATGCAGCATACCCAAATGCAATATGTATTATCACTTCCTTAGAGAACCGGTGGCAGTACTTGCTTCCGCAATTCCGGTCGTCCCTGTGCGCGTGGTCTACATGGCATTGCGTGTGGTCGAGGGGCTCCGACATCGTTCAAATGGCGTCTGTTGGCCTCGCTGTATGTTTATTAATGATACATGTCGGAACACTACAACAACTAACAATAACTTCATAGCCACGGCAATTCACCTTCTTCGATTCATCACCGGTCAAGGATGCTCAGGACCTAGCAAATCCACCAGCAGTGTTTCATCTTCCTACAGAGATTGTCGTTATCGCCTCTTCAACTGTTGGGATACTTGTTGCAGATATTCATGGCGTGATTCATGTACTGGACCGAAAATTCGAACGCTCCAGAGGCTGGGTTGCGTTCGACGGCGGCAGGGTGACACATATGTTGGAGAAGAGAGGGATCCTCATCACATTAGGAGTACGTGCATCTGATAGAGCCCGGATTTGCGCACCTCAAACACGTATTCATAGGAAGAAGCAATCTCATGGGGACCACTGCTTAAGATATGGGACTTGGTGCATACAGATAAACGCACAGACGGTCCGGTGCTGTTGCGGTCCGTGAAAGTTGGAAGCAGCAACAAACCATTTCCGGTTCGTATGCTTTTTGGATTACCTTTCTTTTCCAATTGAAACGAATACTCAGGTTTCTACAATGGCACTGTCATCGACCCTGTCACATCTTTCCATCGGCTTGGGTGACGGAACTGTCCTCCTATACCGGAACCTCGACCAATCCCTCTTCTCGGGATCCAGCTCTCTGACTGCTCTTCCACGCGCACGAACCGTACATGAAGGCACACCCGCTGAACCCATCACCGGTCTTGGATTTCGTGAGTCTCCTGCACAATCCCAGTCGACGGAAGACAAGGGCAAAGACGCTGAAAAGTCCGATCGGGGAAATATGTACCTTTTCATCGTCACCACCGCCAAGGTACTCGTGTATATCGCTACTGGGCGAGGCAGTGGTGGGAGTCCACAAGAGGTTGACGAGGTTGGGTGTGGTCTGGGATGTGCGGTGATGGACAAAAGAGGACGGTACATGGTTGTTGCGAGGGACGAGGCGTTGTATCTATGCGGACCGGAGGGAAGAGAGCCAAGCTATGCGTATGAAGGTGCGCTTGTCTCACCTACTTGCGCCATTGATCGGCTCAATCGTTCGTGCAGGTCCGAAGAGCTTCGTGCAATCATATCGCTCATATATTATTATCGTTTCACCGCCATTCACGCCCTCGGTGGGAGCATCATCAACAGCATTGCGACAGTTGACAGCACGGGCAGACAGCCAGTCAACCGACGTGAGCCGAGTCACTATATTTGATCTCGAGAACAAGTATATCGCATTCACGTCAAAGTTCGAAGGTGGCGTGAAGGATGTTGTATGTGAGTGGGGTAGCGTGTTTGTTTTGTGCAATGATGGAAAGGTACGTGGGACTCTTTGCATATTACTGTAACATGTTGACAACTGCATACAGCTGTTCCGACTTGAGGAGAAGTCAACACCAGCCAAGCTTGATCTCCTATACCAGCGTTCCGAATATGCCCTCGCCATCCGACTTGCCCAGTCCCTCGGTGTTTCTGAGTCTGGCATCTCCGACATCTATCGCCGGAGAGGGGACTTCCTGTACTCGAAAGGCGACTACGACGGAGCGATGGAGCAGTTCCTGCATACTCTGAGCTACCTGCAACCGAGTTATGTCATCCGCAAGTTCCTGGATGCGCAGCGCATACACAACCTGACGACCTACCTACAAGAGTTGCATAGTCAGGGTCTGGCAAATTCTGACCATACGACTCTGCTGCTCAACACATATACGAAGCTCAAGGACGTAGGAAAGCTCGATGCGTTCATTAGAGCAAGTTCGGTCAAGTCCAAGGCAGAGGACGGGGAGAGAGGGGAGGTGAAGGAAGAGCTTCCGTTCGACCTGGATACTGCGATTCGCGTATGCCGACAAGCAGGGTATTACGAGCATGCGGCATATCTCGCACGAAAGTGGGGAAGGCATGAGGACTATCTGCGCATACAGATTGAGGACGCTGGCCGATACGGCGAGGCGCTGGGATTCTTGCGGCGGTTAGGGCCAGAAGCGGTAAGATCCTTTAGCCCCGTTCAATCCTTTCGCTGATAAGGTCAATAGACAGAACATAATATCGCTCGATACGGGCGAGCGCTGCTCTCCAACTTACCTGACCAGACGACTCAGCTATTAATCGAGCTCTGTACTGGCGCTGTCAATGTTCCTCAACCCACGTCATCACCAGAACTCACAAATGGGCAGACGGGCGGGGGAGCCTCCTATCTGTCGTACATCACCAACAATCCTGCCGGTGCTATCCTCACCGGACTAGCGTTTTCGAACGCCACTCCTGCCGTTGCACCCACGATCACAGTTTCACAGGCTGAGACAGCAGCTCGGGTTGGGCAGACACAGACCCCAACGGCATCAAGACCAGAGACTCCACCAGTGGGGGCAATACAGACTTCGGCTGTCACACAGGAGAAGCGACCATCACCACGACTGTTCTTCGCACACTTCGTCGGTCACACACAACAATTCGTCCGATTCCTGGAAGCGGTCGCGTTGTATCGGTGGGGACAATCTGTCGAACCTGCTGGGTCGAGCAAACCGTTTTCCGATATGGATGTTGAGGAGCAAGCAGATTCGACTGCGGTGTGGAACACTCTACTAGAGTTATACCTATCACAGGCGGCAACGTTCCAGGAACGAAACCCATCAATTTCTCGGGTTCTGCACGCCAAAGCCACCAGACTTTTACAGCAAGACCAGACTCTCCCGTATGATCAAACGCACGCACTGATGGTCTGCTCTACGCAAGACTTCACCGAAGGACTAGTTCTCCTCTGGGAGAAGATGGGCGCATACGAGGACATTTTGCGTTATTACATGGATCAGGAGACGGCTGGTGTTGCAACTACAGACGGTTCTGCTTCAACTAAAATTATCCAGTACCTGGATTTGTACGGACCTCAGGATCACAACTTGTACCCTCTCGTCCTCCGTTTCCTCACGTTAAGTCCTGCTCTCTTATCCAGACATACCCAGGATGTGGTATCTATCTTGGACACCATCGAAACGGAGAAGATCATGCCGCCTGTTGGGGTGCTGCAGGTGCTTAGTCGGAATCATGTCGCGAGTGTGGGAGTGATCAAGATGTGGTTGATGAAGCGTATTGCCGAGACCAGAGGGGAGATCGAGGCTGTAAGTGCTTCTCTGATAATCGGTATTTGTCTGCTGACTGGGTTTGTAGGACCATCATCTTATCGAGTCCTACCAGAAAGAGACGAAGGAAAAAGAACAGGAGATCAAGGAACTGACAGACCCGAATCATCCGAGGGTGTTCCACGTCACAAACTGTTCAGGTTGTGGTCACCCACTCACTCTGCCAGCTGTTCACTTCATGTGCAAGCACAGTTATCATCAAAGGTATATCTATCTCCAGTTTCCGCGGCTGAGACAATTCTGACTCGGAGCATCAGATGTGTCAGCGACCAAGACCCGGAGTGTCCGAACTGCGCACGCGCCCATGGGCTCATCAAAGACATCCGGCGACACAACGCACGCGTCGCAGATCAGCACAAGGAGTTCCTCGCCGATGTGGGGGAGAACGGATTCTCAGCCATTGCAGCTGCGTTTGGGCAGGGCGTCATGAGTGGGGGCAAGGTGGAGGAGACCCCGGTTTGACTTTTGGCTCGGACGAACGGATGTGTGGGCGCATGTTGATACCCTTATTCAGTGACGTTGTTAATACCCGTGTCGGCTTCCCTCCAACATATGCATTAATTGGAACCCGGTAATACAATTCTCAGTACCGGCATAGGCCGGAATGGAAATGGCTGAAGGTGAGATGTCACGAGATGAGATATTCAGGGACAACCGAAGGTCTCCTCCCATGCGCCTCTTTCGTCAGATCATCATTCCGCAACCCATGCCCCCTCCTTGTTGATTTCTTGTGTTCTGCACTCTGTCTTATCCCCTGTTCTCCACTCAAGGTTGTTTCCATCGTTCGGTCCTGAGCGAGACTACTACGACCTAGGAGGAGCATTTACGTTAGCTCAGACAAACGTACGTCATTCTCACGTGCCTTAATGTCCCTGGACCCTGTGCTTTTCGGTCAAAGCTCCGCAATCCGGCGGAACGCGAGTTACTCGCCCCCGCCTGTACTCTTAAATACAGGTCGGTCGGGCGTCAGGTATGGGATTCCTTAAACTTGTTGCCCACGAAACGACTGTGACGAGTGGTTGATTGCTATTGCGAAATGGCTAGACTTGCTTTCTTCCTTGCGCTGTTTGTTTACGCGTTTACGACCCTCTGCTCTGCGTCGCCCATTTTAGGCGCTCGTGAGAATGCCCTTCGTGCGTTCATTCAGTGTTAACGTTCTGAGAATTATAACCTAAACGTTGCCAGTTCCCCGCTGGCCGCTTGCTCCGGAGCCCAAGAACGGCACCATCGAGCTACACCACAACGCCGACACCTCTTCCTGGTACCTTCTCGTAGCGCTCAATCCTACGAACTACACAGATACCTCGGGGAACAAGACGATCAACGGCACTCACAACCCTTTGTTGACCGTCACCCTCTTCTTCAACGTCTCGAGCAAGGTGAACACGGGGAATGTTAACGAGACAGATTACACAGTCTACTCGACGCCGGTTGCGTTCGAGCATCATATCAATGACAACTTGACGAGTGTATCGATCTTCAACGCTGCTCCTCAGTTCTATCCCGAAGGTCAGGAGATCTTCTTCGACCTCGCCCTTAATGGTGTTCCCGTCCCGCAAGTTGCGGGTGGCCCGACCTCAGTCAACGGGACGGGATTCACTGCGGACCTCAACAAACCGCTCAACATCACTGGAATCTTCACGATCCACTTCTGAGGAATCCTACGATGTGGAAGAACAATGTTCGAGGAGGGAATGATAATTGCACACGCGGGAGGACGCTTTGTTTCGCTTTTAGTGCGCCTGCTCCATAATGTCTCTTCGCAAGCTGTAACAAGGACTTTGCGGACTCGTTACTCTTTTCGTACGTTAGAATGTAATCACGACTCGATTCCAATTCTAGTCTGGTTTACATGCTTGGAAGAGGAAATACCGGTGACTCTAATCGGTTATACACAGTAAGCGGCGTCGCTAGGATATGATAGAAGTCACTTTTGTTCAAACATGTATAATGTTGTTTAAAGAATTGTTGGGGTGATAAAGGCCGGTAGAATAAATTGGATGCCTGTAACTGGAAAGAGTCAATTTCCTCAGTCATCAAAACATGAGTCAGAAATTAGTTTCCTCACCAGTGATGAACATCCCGACACTTTTTGTTCGACGCGGCGCCCTCCTCCCTCCACGTCTGCCTTGCTCACACACAGTCTTTCAACACGCTTGATATCCACTCGTTTTCCACAACGTCTTTGGGCAGCAGATAGACCATTAGGTGGCACGATGATACGACGAGCTCTGACGCCCAACCCGTAACGCGGACGAACAAGTTCACGCGACTTGCCGTGTCAACAACGTATGTATACGAGAACCGCCAGCTGAGAGAAGACCATGACAAGCAAAAAAGTGATGCAGATGAGAACGACGCAGTACCCTGTAAAGCTGCAAGAGGCAGCTTAGGTGACACACTCACATCTGCAACGCATGTTTGCTGGAGAAGAGGGACACAAGAGCACGGCACACCGACCCACTTGGCCGGATTTTGTAGGACGAATCTCGTCTTGCGGAGAAGAAGCGGTGCTCAGGATCGACCACAGGCAGGAGAAGATAGAATTCGCGCTTACGCGAGTCGGCTCAGACATCCTGGAGTGCTCACGCAGTTAACTTGCGCAAAGGAAGGTTGCTGGCACCTGCTGAGGCCTAGAGTTCGAGACACGAAGACGAGGACTAAGGCTGGGCGGGAGTAGCATGCCTAGTCTAGAGGGAAGATATCCTGTCGAGGCCGAAAGAGCTGAGCAGGAAGTGCTGTTCGACCAATGGCATAGCACAGTCAAACTGTGCAGGGTGTCCAGACACCGCCTGTTGAACTCCCGATCCCGACGCAAGCAGAGAATAAAGTGTTCAAGAGGTGACCAAAGCATATCCAAGCAGAGCCCAAAGCGGCTGCAAGGGTCAAAGAAGCAATAAGCAATGTCAGGAAGCTGGAAGCTGAATTATCCTGCTTCTGATACATTCTTACTTCCTCCGTATGAGCGCAGGAAATCCAGTTGAAATCGTGTTAGGAAAGCGAGAGGTACAAAGGTATGCAGACTAAATAGAAAAGATAGACCGGGGAGTCAGCTTCCCTTAGTCGGTTCAGTCCGCGCTTGGCGGACGCTAAACGTCATCAATGTCAAACGTATGAATTGACGACGTTCATTCATCTTAACGTTCCAATGCGTCTACTACCCCAATTGGATACAAATCTGCGAAAATTGGCTTCAAAACACGTGTGTATTACACAAATGAAGTCCCGATGGGCTCGGCTGTGATGAACTGCGACTGACTGGGAATTCGTATGCGAGACCAGGGCGCTTACTTTGTGCGAGGCTAGCGGGGCTTGGCTATGTATGTCTGGACCTGGAATGACTACGCTTTTTTATGGGAGGAGAAATGTGTTTGGAGTGGGATTGATTCGAATGCCATGACTCCCTGTTTCGCTTCTCTGCTTGTCGACGTCCTCTGCCTTTTCTTCTCGTGCCTCGCTGCTCCCCCCTCTCACTGGGTGAATACCGAACACAGGGGACGAACCGCTTAAAACACTGGCTATACTAGACGCAGATCGGCTGTATTACGTCCTCCTGGCTGCCCTACAACTTGTACGACCTATCAAAGCGTCCACACGCGGCGTGCACGCTCCACAAACCACCGATGCTTCCCCTCAGGCTCCCACTCCTCCTCGTCCTCACGTTCGTCATCGCCCAGCCCTCCCCGTCTCCAACATCAACGCCGCTCTCCCTTCTTCCCTATCCGCCCTCCTCGACCCTCCCTTCCATCCCAGCCAACTTCCTCGGCATCTCCATCGAGCTCTCCTCCTTCACATCCCTGCTCGCCTCCGGCTCTCCCCTCCCCCAGCCCTTCCTCACCCACCTCGCCAATGTCCAGTCCCGCCTGCAAGCCCCCCTCCGCCTGCGTATAGGCGGCAACTCACTTGACTCGTCCCTCTACCTCCCTTCACAACCTTCTCTCCTCCAGGTTCTCCCCAATGCGGAGAAGGACAACATACCCGTCTCCGTCGGCCCCCAGTTATTCCAGACTCTCGCCGCACTCTCCGCCTCCCTCAACATAAGCTACACACTCGGTCTGCCCCTCTTAACGCCAAACAACACCGATTCCTACGTCCCTCTCGCAGCAGCCGAAGCACAACTTAACGGAACACTCGATCTCGTCCTGTTGGGGAATGAGCCAGACCTGTATTGGGACCATGGGGACCGCTCGGGTTACAAGAACTATACAGTGTCGGACTACATGGGCGATTTCGCGCAGGAGATCGCAGGCATCGGTACAGACTTCCAGGAGACAATACTAGGCGGGTACGTCCCTCCCCCACACTTCGAGCAGTACAGAACGAAGAGCGCAGCTAACATGTTTCCAGACCGACAGTCTGCTGCGAATGGGATCTCGCCTCCCTCCTCTCTTCCGGATACCTCAACTTCACCCAGCTGAAAGCGCTCACCCTACAACATTACCCGCAAGACAACTGTTTCGGTTCCTACGCCTTCCCGCTTCAGTACTACCTCAGCCACTCGAACGTGCAGCAGCTGAGCGCCTGGCAGGAACAGGGTGTGCTGTCTGCGAGGCAGGTGGGGAGGGAGGTCAGGATGACAGAGTTTAACTCTGCGAGCTGTGGTGGTATTCCGGGGATAAGTGATACCGTGCGAGTGTCCCTCCCCCCGCCTGGTTCCCACTAACGCAGGCAACAGTTCGCAGCGACCTTGTGGGTAATTGACTACTCCCTTCAGCTAGCGACACGAGGGTATACGGCTGCGCACATCCATACCCGCGAACCGGGGGTATCGTACAACGTCTTCTCCCCGCCTAACACTTCCTACTCCTCGTCACTGGTGTCTTCCCCTGCTGTCGGCTCGGCAGAAGCGGCAACCGCCCTGCAGCAGCTAGAGAGCGGATGGAGCACGGGAGTCACCTACTGGCCGCTGCTCGTGCTGGCAGAAGCGCTCAACCCGCCTTCCGCCGCCAACTCCACGTCTACTAGCAGCGGACTGCCGTACACTGCCCCACTCGACCTTGGGCTGCCGGACTCAGCAGCCGGGTACGCACTGTACACCTCCCCAAGCTGGAGCTTGGCCTCCCTCGTGCTGATCAACTACGCCTCATCAAATGTCTCCTACTCCCTGCCTGCGAACCTCTCTGGTTATCTTCCCGCGTTTGGGAACTCTAGTGCAGGGCTGGGGATGAGGATCAAGTACCTGCTCGCGGGGGATACGCAGAGCGTTCTGCCGGAGATCTCCTGGGCTGGGCAGGGGATGTCACCTGCAGGGGACGGGAGCTTGCTCGGGGGAGAAGTCGTACAAGACCAACTCTGTACGGCTGATACTGCAGGGGCAGGTGGGTGCGTTGTGGTCGTACCAGGGCCAGGAGCGGCGTTGGTCCAGTTTGGGGCAGGCTCTGCAGGCGCTGGAGGGTCGGACACGGGGGGTGGAGGGGGAGGGGGAGGAGGGACGTTAACCCTCGGAGTTGGGGCGGGGCCGACGACGCTTGCGAGCTCTGGGCGCCGGTGGGCAGGGGAAATGGGCACGAGTTTGGGTACTTGGGTCTTTTGGCTTTTTGTGACGGGCTTTGGGTATTGGATGATCATTGTCTGGTGAGCATTGGGAGCTTAGATCCTGCGCTGTGGCATACTAGACTTGCACACTTATGGACATAAGATCTGTACATGTAGATGAGATAGGATACACTGACTTATAATGGGCACATAAGTATGAAGTGGTAGCGGGCAGGAGAGGGGTGAAGCAAGCGGAAGGAGGGTGGGAAAGCTGAGAGCTTTGGGGCGAAGGGAAGTGGGAAGAGAGGGTTACTGCCTTCCTGCCTTCCTGCCGGGGGTGATACGTGTTAGATCGGCAAGGAGGAATGGACAGTGAATGGAGGAAAGGAAGAAGGGGAGCACGGTACATTAAGTTCGGATATATCTATCTCTCTGTCGCCTGCGTGCCCGCTCGCCCAGAACAGCTCGGCCCTTCCACCCAGGCTCAACCATTGCCGTAACCGCGACCCGATAGCTGCCTCCCCCCCCCAGCCTGCCTAAAGCCAACCACAACCCCAATCCCCGTTTCCCACAAGTCTCAGAAATCGATCTCCTCCCCATTGATATGCAAAAACTTTCCATTATCTTCCTGTTTCAAGCCTTCTATTACCCTCAGCAGCTGGGAGACTGCTTCTTGTGCTGAGAGGGGGGCGTCCTGTACGGGGGGAGGGGGTTAGTGTTCCGCGCATAAAGAGGGGAGGGTACGAGATAGGAAAAGGAAACGGAATGGGTACGGGTATGGGTATGGGTATGGGAAGAAGGGTGTGATGATAGGGAAAAGGGAAAAGAAGGGACACTCACCGGTCCGCCCATATCTGTCCTCACCCACCCAGCGCTAAGCGCCACAAACAGCATTCCCTCCCGCCCAAGCTCAACCGCATACTTCCGCGTAGCAGCGTTCAAGCAACACTTGGAGATCGTATACGCCGCATAGCTCGGGCTTGGCGGGTTGGCAGGCGAGTTGAGCGTGAGGGAGGCCATTCCCGAGGTGAGGTTTATGATTTTTTTCGGTTTTTGAGAAGAGTGGCGCAGGAGCGGGAGGAAGGCGTTCGTTGTGAGTACAGGACCGGTGACGTTTGTTGCTAGCTGGCGTGGGGGATTAGGACCGGGAAGGGTGGTAGGAGGAGAGACGGGGGGCGTACGTGGAGGTTCAGACCTTCGGCATCCCACTCTTCTAGTGTCTTGTCAGGGTCTGTATTTACTGCAGCGCAGTTGATGAGCATGTCCACTTTCCCCTTCGCGAGCTTGGACACATCGCTCGCTGCTGCCTACACACCACACCAGACCACACCAAACCATTCCGTCAGTATCCGCGCGGATCCCAACACCGACATGAGGAGACGCACCCGGAGGGACGCTTCGTCCGTGACGTCAGCATGGATAGCGACCACTTGGGTGCTCGTGAGCTGTACGAGCTTGGCTGCGGTTTCTGGATTCCGGATAAGGGCGATGACGAGCGTGTGCGGGTCTTGACTCTGTTTTCTTTTGTTAGCTGCGTTCCCTTTGGAAAGGAGGGGCATACGAGCTGTTTAACGAACTCCAGCTTCTCGCCTATCAGCCCGAGCGCTCCCAAGAGCAGGAAATTCACTCACCCCGATACCCTAGTACTGGTTAGCATCCCCCACGCTAAGGAGAAGAGAGGACTCACCCTACTAGCCCCAGAAACGACGACCACTCTATCAGTCAACGGCTGCGCAAACTCATCCAACGGGCTCGCAGGGCCCAAAAGGTCCTCTTCATGTCTCTTATCCTTATCCTTCTTTCGGCGTGTGGTTGTGGTGCTCCCTGCCGTGCCTGGGCGGGAAAATGTTGATGTTGCGGATGAGGAGGAGAATGGAGGGGTTGGGGAGGGGGACTCGGGCGAGTCTGGTAGTGGTTGGAGTTTAGACCGTCCTGGTTTGCTGTCTTTGGAGGATTTGGGACGGAAGAGGGTTGAGATGCGTTTTATACCTCCTGGGGTCATGTCGATGGTGCGTGCAGGAGGAGGAGATGGAGGAGGAGGAGGAGTAGACGATGACGAGGAGGAGATGGTGAACAGAGAAGTCAAGGCGGTGTTGGACCCTAATTGTGGGAACACTTTACTCCCGCATGTACGTCACGTGTGTAATCCGCTTTTTCAACCAGAAGCAACGTCCATTATCCAATTCCAATTCATCACTCCCTGATATCAGAATTAACCATCAAATGCATGCCATTGTCAATAATACAAATCAACAACAACCACCCAAAGCTAAACACAAAAAAAACTACGCAAACAGCCTCTTGGTAAAACTGTTCAACCCATGCACGCCCCCCTCCACAACCCCATTCACCGTCCTCTTCTCGAACCTCACCTGTCCAGAGCCCACTCCCCGCCTAAGCTCAGGCACAGACCGCAGGCCCATATCCTGCATACTATGCTGCAGCCCTGCATGCAGATACTGCAGGAACGGCTTGACACTTCCTTTGTCCTGTACGTCCCCTGACACGCCCTGCGCGACTTTCACAGCGGAGGACTCGGAGAAGTACCTGCTTGTAGCTGCGTTCTCCACCGGGCCTTTGAGAGCTTGTTTTACCCCGACGCCGTTTGCTGCCCCACCGGATTTGCCCGCTGACGAAGAAGATGACGCGCGTTGTTCCATCGCCTCGAGCGAACCCATACCGCGGTAGGTCTTGACCCGTTTCCCGTCGTGCCAGAAGTACTCCCCAGGTGCCTCCGTAGTCCCAGCAAGCAAGGACCCCATCATCACTGCCCCTGCACCTAGAGCGAGTGCTTTCGCAACATGGCCAACGTTCCCTATCCCCCCGTCGGCGATCACCGGGACGCCAAAGCGGCCCGCGAACTCAGCGACGGCGTACACGGCCGTAGCCTGCGGTCGCCCGACAGCCATCACCTCCTGGGTAATGCAGATCGAGCCCGAGCCCATCCCCACGCGCAGTGCGTCAGCACCTGCGGCGATAAGGTTCGCAGCCTGCTCCCGCGTAACGACGTTCCCGGCGATGACCTCGAGCTTGGGGTAGGTAGCCTTGATCCACTTGATCATCTCTATCTGGAAACTCGAGTTGCCTTGGGAAGAATCGAGGACCACGATGTCCAGGCCTGCGTCGACAAGTAGGGCGAGACGGTCCTTGTCTGCCGGGCGGGTGCCGATCGCTGCTGCGCAGAAGAGCTGCTTTGTTTGTGGGTGCTTGGAGGCCATGGGGTAGGTCTGATTTTTCAGCAGATCGGAGCGGGCGAGGAGGGACTTGAGTCGGCCTGACGCGTCGACAATGGGCAGCTTGCCCTTCTTATTCTCGCGTAGGAGGTGTTGGGCTTCCGCCAGCGTGACACCTTCGGGTGCAGTGACGACTTCCGTGGTCATCACTTCATGCAGTGGTGTCGTAGGTGGGCGGAATTGCACGTCCCGGCGAGTGACAAGACCGAGGAGCTTGCCTCCGAGTTCTCCTGTATCTTTAGGAGAGTCAGCATGTGCTCCACTGAATGACAGAAGGGAAGGGATCAGTGGACATGAGTTCCAGACTCCGCATTCGGGCCCCACACTGGAGGCCACGCTCGGAAGAACGAAGGTAACAGAAATGATTCTCATCATCTTGTGCTCAAACGGCACGGACACTCACCAGTAATGGGGATCCCGCAAAACCCGAGGCGCTCCTTGATGTCCAGCACGTTGGCGACGACATGTGCGGGAGTGAGGCAGACGGGGGAAGTGATGAACCCGTTTTCGTGCCTTTTTACTGCGCGGACCATGGCTGCTTGGGACGCTGCGGGCTGGTTATGATGTACGACACCTATCCCTCCCATGAGCTGGCCATACATGGATCAGTTTGTGAGTGAAGAGGGAGGGGAAGGGGACGCACAGCCATGCTGATCGCCATCTCAGTCTCGGTAACCGTGTCCATAGGACTGGACATGAAAGGCGTGTTGAGGCTGACGTTCCTCGTTATCTGCGTGCGGGTGCTGACCTCCGTCGCTTGGAAGTTGATATGCCCGGGAAGGAGGAGGAAGTCATCGTACGTGCCTATGCCGGATGGGGAGGCATGTAGGTCTGAGAGGGAGAGCCCATCTGGCGAAGAGTAAGATGCGAGCTCTGTGAGGGCATCAGACGGTGAGAGTGTTGTTGAGGGCATTTTGGGTCGTTGGTGAGAGGGGGGAGGAGGGGAGGAGGGGATGAGGAGGGGATGGTGGTCGTTAGAAGGAGAGTTGTGGGCGTATCAGAGAAGAGTAAAATTACTAAGGAAGACCGATAGAGTAAAATTGACGCGTCGAGAGCCCTATAACAAAATGGAAGCTTATCCTTCATGTCACCTAAATAGACCACTTTCCCCTCTTCTCCCGCCCACATATATGCGCATACACTCAACTTGTACCCACTTTGCTGATCGTCTTACTGTTTGTTACATTGCCTACAAGTGCTATTTGCAGTGTAGTGGCCCTCTTGCAACGAGTACCCGTTGACAGAGCCGTACCGGATCATGCGCACAGACCCTGTCTCTTTTGCTTCTCAAGCACGTGCAACACGTGATAAGCTTTTTTTTTTCATCTGGGTCGAACTGATGCCCCGCTCTTCACACCTAGCTACTTTGGGGGCATATATAAACTGCTCATTTCCTCGTAGGGCGTCTTTCATCTTTCGTTCTTCCCATCATCTCCCCCTCCCGTTTCCCTACTCGCCCCCCTTCCTCCTTTCCCTCCCTCCCTCTCCTTCTCACCTTTTATTCTCTCCATATATCTCACTCAAACCTCTTCATTCTCTCCGAGTCCATGACGCTTGCCTGGTAATTCCCGGCCTGGCTACCTCTTCCGCCTGGTCTTATCAACATCGACAGAGCTCCACCTCTCCTTCTCCGATTGAAGACAATACACCCGTCCTGCTGTTGATCTGGGCCCCCGAACCCTGCGTAGGAGTGATCTTCAACCCACCTGTATCGAGTCTCCTTGCACTATGACCATAGAGGGTGCAGGTGAAGCTTGATACAGGCCGGCTGTTGCTCCTCATTTTTATCTCCTTTAACAATACTGGTTATCTCTTCACGCGCCTTCACACCCATGCACTCAGCAAGGACATCTTTCGGCCTCTGGCACTGAATGCCCTTGTTCAGCCCATGTGGTCGTGTCCTTCCCCTCCATCCCCAATCCGCTCGCCATTGCCCCTCGGCATGAATCCGGAGTGCTCTGCATGGCACCGAATACCATGTCCACAGCACAGTGCCTCGCACCTCAGCGCGAGAAATCTTCCAGGATGCCCTCGCGCGTCGCGCAAAATGTCTCTAATGCCCTTTTCGTCCGGCGTCGTCCACAATGCCCTTCATTCCTTGCGCACGGAATGTATCTAATTACATTGTCTGTCTAGGGGGACCCGCTCCTGGCTCTTTCCTCACAGTTGCTGGACGACCACGGTGCATCTTTCGCTGAGGTGGATCAAGTGCGGTGTCCGGATCTAGCTCAGATAGCAAGACCATCGGATATGGAACTTAGTAGGTTTCTTGCAGCATTGAGTTGAGGTAGCACTTGTCAAAGTACTTGCCGGGCGCTTGATTGAATTCATAGCAAGCGGCAATTGCATGTGCACATGGTACAAGGTATTGCTGGAAGAACCGGCACGAACACATTGCCCCCTTCAATTCTGGATCCAACATCACGTCGTACTTGTCTCCGCCTGGTCCTTCGACAAGAGCTTGTAGATGAACCGATGGTGTCACTTTAAAAGTCCGGGCAGCAACACAATTGTCGGTGAAGACCTTGAGGTGCTTCGCCACGTAATCGAAATCGGTTGATGGCAGAGTGAGAGCATACATCCGGCGCTTGTAATGGTGTGCCATCTGATGACACCATATGTAGTCGAGGAGGTTAAGCACCGGTAATTCACGAGTTTCACGGAAGACATTATTCATGACTTCCGCTGCATTTGATGTGAGTCGACCAAAGCATGGCTCGATAAATGCATAGCTTGCCCATGCAGCTCGTTCAATGACTGCGAGATAAGGTGCTGCCCCGGGTTTGACGTTCTGATCATTGTGGACCGCGTCTAAGTGTTTGTTGAATTCCTTCTCAGTTGGCGCTTTGGCAAGGTTCCAGACGTGATCTTCAACTGGTTTGCCAAAGTGTCGGACTGCATTCGTAATGATGTGCTTGACGCAGAATGCTTGTTCAACGAGCGGAAGTCCATCCGAGATGGCTTTGAGCAAGCCCTTCTGCCGATCGGATATGATTGTGGTTGTTGGGCTATCGAGCCCGTTGAGAGATTCCTTGAGTGATTGGAGGAATGAGGACCACGTCCGGGTATCTTCTTGTCATGCAATAGCCCATGCTAGGACAAGCAGCCTGTCTTCCGCATCATGTGTAACCGCCATGAGAAGGACATATTTGTAAGATGTCTTCGTGAATGCACCATCCACTGCGAAAAAGTGACGGACGGAACACCATGCACTCTTTGCAGCAGCCAAGCATATGAACAAGGACGTGAAGGCATGCTTTGAGTCGAGTGAAATCTTGATCGTTGCTCCGGGGTCGCAAGCTGTAAGATGCGCTGCATAAGCTGGGAGGGTTTGGAATTCCTTCAGCTGATTCTCGACGTGATTGCCAATAATCTGCCGCTTTGCTCGATAGGCTTGCTGAGGCTTAACACTGATGTTATGCCGTCGAAGGGTGTCCATCACGGTTGACGTCTTGACTCGGCCATCAACAGGCATGATCTTCTTCAACTCGGCAACAAGGAACTGAGTTCGACTTGTAGCTGCACGAGGCTTGATAGCATGTGTCTGACAAGTATGATTGGCTTCAAGATTGCGTACACGGAAGACCCCGTCTTTGCCCCCAACCGATGCATAGAATCCACGCTCTCCACCCTGCACTTCACAATCAGCCGACTCTTATCACTCTTGCTAATGCGGTGGGTTGCTGCCTGGCTGTTGGAGAAGCCTGTGAGAGCATTTCGAGCATCATCAAGCGAGGCAAATTCTTGCCCAATGAAGATAGTGTTGGCCATGGCGAATGAAGTGTGTACGTGTCCTCTGTTGACGCGCGATGACGCATCCCTCACTGAGGGCATGGTAGATGACACCGG